AAATTTATAGGGGATATCTTCATCTTGGCTTGGGTGAAAAGTGGCAATGATTCTACTAAATTGTAAGTCGACAGCTTCATTTTTGCGGCCAGGTTAATGTTTACAATAGGCATTACAGAGACGGATAGACAGACAGAACGGCACTCTATCCCTCATCCTTTGGTGATGGGTATAAAAAGGAATCGCATATGTTTTATTTAATTTAAATACTATTGAATCCGCCCAAACTTTGTCTAAAAATGTTGAAATTGTGTTAAGCTTTTTTATAAATCTTGGCTTGCTCCACGACATAAGGCGAACACATAGGCACGTGTTTCATCCTATGAGCTACAAATTCTTTATTATTTTTAACCAACCGGAGAAATGTAATTTTAACATCGTAATCAGACCGAAAGAAAAATATTTGCTTTCTTAATAATGGCTAGGTCCCAAGAAATGGACGACGACGAATCGGTAGCAGCCACAGGGGAAAAAAACTTGAACCAGACAACAATTTTTCTGAAGACTAAAGCTTCCCTTACTTGTATTTTTGTTCAAGAGATTGGAAGTGCACGCGACTATCAATCGAAAAATGTAGTGTGTAAACAATGGAATAATTTCTGTATGTACTTTGGCTGAAAAAGTTCAGCTTTAAACTTTCAGTGGCCTTGACATGTTCAATATGATTTCAGAGAAGTGAATCTATTAGTAATTTTTGTATGAAAACAAATGCAAGAAAGTAAAATCTTTTAATACATGTATGCACACTTTTTGTTCAACCTGTATACTGTGTTAAGTGTAGGCCTAACAAAAATTTGTCAAACTGAGTAGTTGCATAACCTATTAATATTCTCCAGAGTTACGATTACATTCATTTTTGCAGTCGGAAAAATAGACACCACTAAGCATACTATTGCGTTATGTAAGCATGTAATATTTAGGCAAACTATGTTATCTGGTAAAAGAAGAGTATGGAAAATATTTCAAATATATGTAAAAGACTGAAGACACAAACTTGTTATTCAAGTATAAAGCAAGCATACTGCAAGCTGATATGTAATGTAATGTTGATGGTGTATGTGTGCAACTGCAAAAAGCCTTCGAAATTTATTGACAATTGGCATTTTTAACATTAACATTACGGTGTTAACTCAATTACATTTCAATAAGTCCGCTTTAAAAAGCAACCTCTAAAATATCAAAAACTTGAACTTCCACGATTATCTAATAGCAATAGTTATGGAAGAAAAAAATGCAAAAAAAAAAAAAAAATTCAAAATCAAAAACTTGCTTAGTGAAAACTTAACTTCCTACTTGGTCTATGTACAAGCATATTTGGCCGAAAGTGTAAGTATAGAGAAAGAGATAGATCTCTTTCTAAAAAAATAGCAAACAAATGAAAGAAAAAAAGAAAAAGAAAAGAAAATCAAGCAGCAACAACCGTCGTGAATCTAATGTATTAGTAAATATTGCTTGAAAGTAAACGTGAGTTGCATTGTTTATCGGGAATGTAATAAAATTTAATCTGAGTAATTCTGCATAACGCAGTACGCTAACGTGCGGAGGGCCATAGCCTACAAAGACATGCAAAGAGAGGAGAGAACATTTTTGAATAAGTTTTACATAGAGAAGTTTTCGGTTTACCTCAAACTTTTGCTTGCAATCATATGGTACCACCTATACATATATATATATATCATTACTGTTATTATGAATTTATTGTTTATTTTTATTACTCTCTAATAATACATTTACAGTTTTCTTTTATGTTACCTCACGTACGTGTATAACATTTATGTTGCGTATCTGTTAATGTCATTATTATGTCTGTTAAAATTCCATTACGTCTGAGCTATTCACGTATGGTGATATAGAGCAGTAAGTAAAACTACGTTAATACTGCTTACCTTGTATGTTTTCTTGTATGGAATGTTTCACTTATGCTTAGTGGCGTGGTTATGGTTAATGAATGAATCTTGAATTTTGCTTCATTTCAGTTCACTACTCTTCGGTTACAATAATCAAAGCATTGTGGGTTAATACACTTTGCTTTATTATAATTAAATGTGCATTCATTTTAATCTTTGCACCCTACCCCACCTGTGCTGACAGTATACTAAATATGCTAAGCGGCGTGCGCACATTTTTTTGTAAGTATCGACTTAGAGTCTCTGTTTATCTGTGTGATTTGCCAGCATTGAAGCGTTTAGGCTAACGCGCGAACTCTATTAAGAATGTCTGTTATATTTCGTTTGCATTAAATTGCTGCTCCGGATTTGGGCAGAGATTAGCAGAGCGAAGCTGGTTTCGCTGCATAAAAGGTTTTCTGAATTCGTTTTTTCACGATATATAGACTTAAGTTAGCCGTTGAGATCTGGCGATTTAACTTATCATTACACTTTTCTATTTGCGGTTACAGTAAATATAAAGCCTACGCAAATACTTCAGTAACGATTCAAGCACTGAAAAGCAATATTATAGCTGCCATTGGTGAAATATGACTATTGTACGAAATGTCAAAAATTTCAATAAAAGAATGAAGAAGAATGAATGATGACCGACTTGGCATCGATTCAGCATTCAAATGAAAATGCCATCCTTCCCTTTGAAAAAAACTTCAGATTTTAAACTTACTCGATAAAAGCCGGGCAAAGATATTTAGCTTACTAGATGAATATGGACAATGCGATGGAAACTTTTCTTTGCAGATCGTCCTGTATAAACGTTTCTATCAAAAGTAAGCCTTTGTATGGCAGCTATGTCTAATTTTTCATATGTTATAATGAACATAGATCAAGATTTCATTAAGCGCAATGTTGCAGGGGATTCACCGATCGGTCTCGCGCCTATCTATAGCTCTTCAACTTGTTTCGTTTATTATGAAATTCTGAAACCTCTTAAAAAACTAGTTTTTTTAGCGGCTAAGTGGCAGCTGGCAAGTGTTGCAATCAAATCTAAATTGTTGAGAATTTATTTAAATATTTTCGTTTTTACGCCCCTTAAGAAGACAGTTCAAATATTTAAACACACATGCATCAGAGACCACGTAATGAGTTAATGTGTTTAAACATGATGACCGCTACACTCATAAAGTAAAAGAGATTATCATGTTTTTCTCTATTTTTCTCTCGATGCGAAATTTCGATTGTGATTCCAAAACTGTTCCTTTTCCGTTCTTTAGGTAAGCTATCTTGAGCGCGCGCGGGCCTATCTTCCAAGCGTGCATATGCCAATATCCACTTGTTCATATTTTCACAAAATAAGACGTTTACAGCAAGTCCACGAACAATTGCTATAGCGTTTATGCTTACTTCAAGGCGTGCAAGTGCACCAGATTTCATCAAAATATCTCTCACATTGCGTTCTGTAGTTTGAACACAAGGTAGCAAGACGGACAGACAACCAGACAATCTTAAATCAATCCGGATAGTGATCAGAACAATAAAAAGTGGGTCTATCTCAAGTACCCCTGGGTGCTGCAGACATCCGCACAAATTTAATACACCCTCGTACCACAACAGTGTGTTCAGTTAGACATTATGCTTGTAAACACAAGCAAAATACATGCATGCGTATGATTTATGATAAAACATAAAACAAATGATTTAGTCTTCGTTTCTCTTGTCTTTGTCTTAATTTTAACTTTAAATTCAATTTCAATTTAATTTGGTTTTCAATTAAATGCCATTTAAACAACAATTTTTGTTTAATTATCTTTAGCCGGTTTTTTTACGTAACGAAAGGAAGCCGAAGCAATTTTATTAAATTCCATTATATTAAATTGGCGCCAATATTGTAAGTGTACTGCTCCGCATTATTTAAATAAATGGAAATCTGATGAATAACTTTACTATAAACATAAGCAACGAATGCATGCGATGAATGCATGATTTTCTTCCCCGGCGTTTTAGATTTGAATGAAAAAAAACCTTCTAGAGAAACTAGAAAGAAACTTGGTTTTCATAGGAATATCTGAACCGAGGCGATCCAAGTTTGATAGTGTTAATTCTGTTTGCTTGAAGCTTATTCGCTTATATGCTCAGAATACTCAGACTTTGTTACCTTATAAAAGCTTAGTTTTCAAAAATCCCCTGTATGATAGGCACCACAAAAATGGATCTGCATAGTCCACACGTGCCACAGTAAGCTTTTACATCAACTAGCTGAGCCCAAGGAGCTGTCCCAAGCGATTGAAATTTTCATATTTCCATGTATAAGCCAAAGCACCATTTTTTTGAACGTATTCCATACACAAGGAATAAAAAGTTTATCTGCAGTCTTACTTCAATTTAGTTTTGCGAATTCTTAAAGCCTAGACCACAGGGTAATATAAATACACGTTAAGGAATGCTAGCGTTGCCCTACTTTTTTCGGTATCGCAAGCCACCATCTGAACGTTGAAAATTACTTTCCGCTTTTCTCGTTATCGAAAGGTGCAGTTCAACTTCAGATGATTGAAGTTTCAAAATCAAGAGCTTGCTTGAGTTTAAGGGTGTTTGACCTTCTTTCCATCAAGGCGTGCGTGCTGGTAAAGAAAGTCAAACGAGATATAGAATTCTTCTTGCTGTGCATAAAAATTTGCACGTATGTGCGAAGTGTACTTGAAGAGTTGCTATTATTGCTGTCGCTGCAATAATAGCACGTATATTTCCATATACGTGGCTTCATCTAATACTTAGGGGCCAATCATTTTTGAACTATTGAGTGTGCATGTCCATTCCTTTCATAGTCCTTTATCATATGGTTAAACTCTTAGAATAATGCTCCTACGTGAAAAACTTGAAGTGACTTCTTCACTTTCTGTCTCTCTCTTCTTCCTCACTTCATCTTCTGAGCGATTGATCATATCAAAAAAAAAAAAAACAATTTAAAACACTACTTTGGGTCGTGGGCCACTATTAAACGCCTTATGATGTAGAGCGAAATTATATATTTCATTAGACAAACACAATTAAATTATATTGCATTGGAGAAGTCAACTGAAAGAATAATAAACATGTGCTAACAATTACTCTTTGCAGCTGCTCAAGCAAAAAACGACAGTTCCCAAATATACGTGACCGAGTCTTGTTTGGAGAAACCTTTTCGTTGTCCGCATCCGAAAATTCAATTCTATTTGTATACGCGGCGCACCCAAGATGAGCCCGAATATTTGAATGTTTTGGATGATAATTCTTTATATTACACGCACTTCAATCCTCGCCATCCCACTAAAATTATTATACATGGTTTTGGGGGAGGACGGAATCTATCCCCCAGTCCCGATTTGAGGCAAGCGTACTTTACCATTGGTGATCATAACATAATCATAGTCGATTATAGCACTGCTGTACGTGAACCGTGCCTTAGTCAAATGGAGTGGGCCCCACGTTTTGGCGGTTTATGTATATCGCAATTGATAAAATATTTGGCAAGACATCCCCGCGGGGTGCAACCCATTGATTTACATTTAATTGGTTACAGTGTTGGTGCCCATATAGCGGGCTTAGTGGCGAATTATTTGCGACCCGATGGCGCAAAAATGGGACGTATAACCGCTTTAGATCCAACAATTTTCTTTTATGCGGGATCTAATAATTCAAAAGACTTAGATCCCAGTGATGCTAATTTTGTAGACGTTTTGCACACCGGTGCCGGCATATTGGGTCAATGGCATACGAGTGGTCATGCAGATTTCTACGTGAATGGAGGTACGAGACAACCAGCTTGCGTAGGTTCGCCGACATTATTTCGTAAGTTAATTCCTTACAATTCTTAAATTCAACTCTGATAGAGTTTTTTTCTTTTGTTTTTTTTTTTAATAAATATCGCAGAAACTTTAGCCTGTGATCACACTAAAGTGACTCCCTATTTTATAGAATCCATAACCACTAAGAAAGGTTTCTACGCGGGCCCTTGCCCGAATCTCTTCACTTACCTAATAGGATGGTGTGAGCCCAAAGATTCGGAATATGTATTAATGGGCGAACACGTCTCACATAAGTAGAAATTTTTGCTTTTTTTTTTTGTAATTTAATTTATGAAATAAATATAAAACTTTACAGGGCCAGAGGGACATACTACGTCACTACTAATGCAAAACCACCATATGCTCGCGGTTTTCCCGGAAAAGCTAGATCAGCCGGTGAATACAGAGGGGTGCGCAGATGAAATTTGTTCAACTCTTTGGAAAAACAAAAAGAGAACATAGAGGGAGAGAGAGAGAAAATTAATCGAGCATTTTGTAAATTATAAAAAACCGATTCAGAATTTATTTTCTTTAAATAACTAGAAAATACTTATCTACACTTAAGGTAGTGTATTTAAAAATTTGTTGATTCGTTACCAAGTCTTTCGAGAAACACTGAACTGAAAATTTCCAGGTAGCGAAAAATTCTTTTCAATAGTTAACTAAAACATTGTAAATTTTGTTTACATACTTTAAGAAGTGCTGCATGTACGTGTTGCGATCAAAGCCCTTCCTTGCGGAAAGTTAATTGTTTAGTCAATTGTGATTGTTGCGGTCAAGTATAATGAAAATAAGGTGCAAAATATCGCTGAAACGTAAAGTAACCACGAAATGTTATGCTATATGTACTGGCTCATGAGCTTTGATTGCGATTATTCAAATAAAGGCAATTTTACATCGTAATAGGCAAAACAACTTGATTAAATATTAGGTCTACAAAAAAATGCTCGACTGTTTTTGATAAAATTAAAATTTATGAAAAACAAACACACTTGTTAGAAGTCTTGATAATCAAAGTAGCTAAGATCATTGTCTATTGCCTCTTGCAATGATTGCATAGCTCATGGACATCCTCGCAGTAGAAACCTCTTAGTTCCGAGGTGACTTAGTCATCAAATTATGTTAGCACGTCTTCGAATTTGTAAGGCTGTTGCTCGGCTAACTATGAAAGCATCGATCTGAACCGATGGTAATCAGAAAGAAACGGGGTCTAGAGAATAATCTGAATCCTTTCCCAGCGCATGTTGAAGATCGTTGTTTTGGCTGAAGACACACTGACTTATGCGAATTGCATTGTTTGCAAAATAAAAATTTTGTACGCGAAATTTCGTAAACCAATTTTCAACTATTTTGTAACCTAACTGCATTTTCACTCCAGTTGCGTTGTTTTCCAGCTTAATCCGGTTAAAAGCACATACGCTACTGGTTAAGATCCATCTCTATACTCTTTGATGTACACTGAATGACGAATAGTAAACCATTGAAATCTTCAGCGTGCAAGTACCAATATCCAAAGGGGAATCGAATCCCACATAAAATAGTAAATGCGAGATTGAGAATGTATTTGTAGACCTAGTAGCATAAGGGCTATTTAGTTTTTGTTTGATGTTAGAAGATTTGATCTAAATTTAAGATATTTTAAAAAATATCGAGTCCTTTTTTGAAAACTTTTCTTTTTCTAAAAGACATTTTCTAAAAACGAATTTTCTAATTTATCTGTAGTAATGCTTTTTAATCTGTGGTAGATTTGTAATATCAAAAAATGTTGTGATTTTAGTTAATTTTTTATATTTAAAAATTGTATGTAAATATTTAATAATTTGAATGGAACTACTTTTTACTGAATCGTGAATAGACCATTAAGTAATTACGAAGAAGTTTTTGTTGTTTCAGGAAATGGTATTATTGCGCGTGATAATTATCGGGAAGCGAAAGTGATCGGTCGGGAAATCGTCGCCGTCAATCGGAAACAGGAAATTATCATAGGTGAAGTCGCTGCCGATAGATCAGAAATTCCAGCTAGAAAAAACGTGAATTATGTTATGTACGTTAACAGAGATATTTTGAAAATTGCAAAAATACGACCTATTTGCTAAATAATAAGGTAGTAGTTTAGTGTTTCAAATTCTGACTGTCACAAGCTCTGTCATTGGGATGTGTTCTTATATTCGCTTATATATACAATAAGCACATGAACTTTGAGAGTAAAGTTCTATGAAATTAGTGAGGTTTTTCTATCAACCGAAGATATATATCTTTGCTGCTATAAATATACAAACGGGTGAGGGTCCGAAATTCACCACAACTATTCATTCCCGAACTTCCAAATGTTCTCTGAAAAACTCACCGCGATCGGTTAGTCCCCTATAAATAAGAAAATGTTAAGTAATTATTATCCATGATTCGGCTTAAGACGCATGCAACTTTCTTACTTGTTGGAATATTAGCAAAGAAAGCAAGACAGATATAACTATTTGCTCTTAATAAAACGTTCATTTCATAACACGTTCATCATTTCAGAACTAGTACCATTCGTCCCTTAAACAATAAAAATTTTGCTTAGCTTAGAAAAAAGAAAATTTCTTTAGTGTAATAAGAACTCCTTCACTATCAAGACAAAAATTAAGATAAAATTTAAAGAAAAAATTTGAGAAGAAATTTTGCAAATTGGGAAACTCATATGATATATTGAAAAGCGAAAAATTTCCCCTGAATAACGATTTCAAATTTCAAGATACCCGGGTACGATATGACAGATAGATATTGAAGATATGAGATTCTTTTAATTCTTTCCAGAAATAAGTTACGAATAAGAGTAAGGCCCGATTCCATATAATCTATAAATACAGGAGTCGGACATGCAATTAAAACTTTCTACATACCCCTTCTTCTTCTGGAAAGAATGGAAGTATTATGAAAGATCCATGTCGTTCTAAAGCCTTTTCGCAAACTATAAAAATTGATAAATGTCTCGATAATTCGGGGCGACGTGTATATTTTCCAAAATGCGAAAGATTACTATGTCCAATAATTGAAGAAAAACGTCCTAGCACAACTCTCAATAAGTTCATAGGATGACATACAAATACAGAATGACTATGTCATGAAATTTCGACACTTCGTTTGAAGGTTGATATCATGTAAAACTTACATGGATTCCGCAATAATGGCTAAATCAATCTCATCCTACGAACTTATTGAGTGATATAATCTATCTAATATATATTGTAATTTGTTATTTAAAAAATATTTTAGAATAATTCCTCTAATCATTAGACAAACATTTTGTTTACTTAAGTTGTAAAATTTCACTAGTTTAGACACTAACTAATAGGATTTGAAATTTAAAATGTGTAAATATCAAAATGAAGTCTTTTTCTATGCTATTGTAGTACAAATTAGAAAAATAAAAACAAATGGAATATTTTCTTTTTTGAATAAATTCAACATTTTTATTTTAATATATGTATATATATATATACATATATATATATGTTTTTATAGAGATTTATAGAGATTATATTCATTATTCATATTAGTTAGTAGTTAGTCGTTTTATGTAATGATTTAATGTTTTCATTTTATCTTTTATTTTATATGTATTCAAGGTCTGGTTTATAAATTTTTTTTTACTCATCTATATAAATGTATGAATTAAGTTTAGTTTACATTTTTAATATGTGAAATTAATTAAATGATAATTTGAAAAATTCCTTTAGAAAGATATACATAGCATATACAACAAACGTACTAAAGAGATATTGAAAAGAAATGAAATCAATGGAAGGCAAAATTCGAACTTAATTAAATTTTTTTTTTTTTTTTTTTTTTGTTTAATACAGAATAAACTGCAGTCAATCTTTTTTTTTTAATATTTTATTTTACATTTTAATTCTTTTATTATATATTTTTTTTTCAAATTTTGAAAATAATTAAAAAAAAAAAAAATTATATTCCATTATACATTGTTTTTATTATTATGATAATGCGGGAGGGTATTACACAGTAAAGGGTTCCTTTGTTTTTTTTTTTTTTTTTTTTGTTTGCTATATATATAAGATGTATATATATATAAATCGTTTTTTATATTTGCTCTATTATAATAACATATACATATCTAATTATTTTTATAATTATAATTTTTATTTATATTTTTCGTCTTTAATTTAATGCTAATTATATATTGTCTGCCACAGCAAATTGATTTTAAAGTGCTATAGTAATGATATTTTTATTTAGAAAAATTAGTAACTTTAATTAAAAAAAAAAACAAGATGAAATTAATAATCAATAATCATAAAGATATTACAGATCTACACAATAAACATTATCACTTGTATTTGTTAAACAAATATCAAGCGCAAAATTTTATTATATAAAACATTACACATTACTCTATAGTCGGGAGGCTTTGATTTTTGCTAAAAATATATAATTAATTGTACTTTGCTTAGTCTAAGTACGTAATAGTTCTAATAGTAATAATCGCATTCTGAGTGTTGTACGTATTATCTACAAACTGTTTTTGGAATGTTTACTTACTTTCCTTATACCCACCCTCAACGGACTATGCTACACTATACTCATATTATCATCTCTTCTACATCCGGCATTAATTTGACAATAGGCCCATTAAATTTATACATTCCCGATTGATATGAGAATTTTACTACACACAGTTACGTTGGTTTGTTATAAAAATGCCGAAAGTCCGCAAACGTATAAAACTGGTAAGAAAACTGTATTCGGCCGCAATTAGATCTTTTGTACCCATCACCATTTGATATATACTCATAATACGTACACTTTCTATGGTTTCTAAGGCTTCCTTCTGAGTGCTGCAAAGGTTTTCATAAAAGAATGAAATTTTCATATGCTACAATATTGAGTAGTGGCCGTAACCGATTTTATTAATTTTTGTGCAAGTGCTGCAGGCACAGCCATAGAATATAAATGCAAATTGTGCTTTATAAGCTACAACAAAATAAACAATTTCATTTTATATTTTTGAAAACAGAAATGATCTCAGGTCATGTTGCACTGTAGACCTAACCCATAACTGCTTTGTCTCAATTTCAATAGCAACCTATGTGCGTTTTTCCAAAATTAAAGTCGATTGTTGCATTTTTGCTACCAGGACAATGTCTACCACCGATATTACGTAGGCAGTCAGACTGCCAGTCAGATGCTTAAATCAGTTTAGAAATCGGTTTACCACAGACATTACGCAGACGGATAAGCAGGCAGACGGATGGACGGAAAGTTGAAATTGGTGTAGAATTTTATGCTGATCAAGAATATACTTTATGGAGTCGCTGAGTCTTTTTTCTGGTTGTCGCCAAAGTTGTGACAAAATGAATATATTCCTCATCCTTTGGTGATGGGTATAAAAAAAAGGCCAAGTGCATACACTTACTTAGTCGATGAAAGTATGCGTCGCTCGCTCGGAAAAACATATGTCCTAGAAATTTCAATACATGCGCGTTGATAGTCTTCTTATTTATCGGATTGATTCGTCATTTTAATATATAGTTAAAAATTTTAGGAGGGAAAAGCCCCCGCAAGAGATGGTGGGTATTCAAAATTCGCCTTAGGGCGAATATAAAGTTTTTCGGGTTTTTTGCATTATATTTACATATATTATCTTAAATTATTCACTGAAGCATTCATTGATTTGCTGTTCAATATAGTTTTCAACATATGTACAATTAAAATTAACTTTACATTTATCATAAAAATTTCTTCTTAATTTCAATTATTGTCAACACAGCTTAAGAGCTTGTTATTCCCAATATAACTGAGTATGAAAGAAATAATTTCTTGTATATATGTAATATTAGTTTTTAAGCCGAACATCTTATTGAGAATATTGTATTGCATTTACGCCCGACGTTTAGATAAACATTTTTAAAATATAAATTTTATTTAAAAATTTTCGATAATTAATTTAATTGAATCGTAAAGGTATTATATACATTACATTATGAACTTTTTGTCGCTAACCTATGAAACATTTTTTTACTAAAAATACACAAAAAAATAAAAAAAAACAACAATATCACAAGTGAGTGCAATAAATAATAAAATAAATTCTTTAAAACTGGCCATGCGACAATAATCTTCTCCCGCCCCAATCTATAGTGTGTACATGCGTCTTTGGGGCATGCAAGGAAGCTTTGATCGATTTTCTTTGTTAAAACGTCCTATGTTTGGAGCGAAATTTGTCATATAAAATAGTTTGGATCAAGAAGTCTCTCAATTCTTCTTCTAAGATATAACTGTTGTTGACTGCTCATCACACACTCGACACAAAATCGACAATTTCTGTGCACTTTTCTGAAATGGTTCATTTTTGGTCCTTAACCCTAAACATACCGTGTGTTTCTACAACGAATAATATTGCAATGTGATTCCCAATACTTATGAGAATCATGGGAATAATTTAAATGTCACTGGTTTGCTTTATTATTTAAATATCGAAAGAAGCATAAAATATTGTTTACTGTCCATACATTTGTGCAGATGTACGCAATACAAAGAAGAGCTTGAGGTGGACACATCTGGCGATCCAGAATCACTGTTTGAATTTGATCCAAGCTTGCTTGTCCGTCAGTCCGTCTGTCAGTCTGTCTGTCTCAAATTGTTGTGTTCAACTTATAGGCCACAAATTTTTTAAATATTTCAATAAAATTTGGTACACCGACGTGTTTTGAACCAAGGACCAACAATATTGAATATGGTACGGACTGGCCAACTTTGCCAACGATTAGGCTTTTCGTTTGTTTGATAATGCGTTATGAAATTATCAAAAAACATATCAACATTAAATATCGAATGAAAAAGGAAGCATAAGTCGTGCGAATTTTCGAAATTGTTCCGCCAAAAGAATAACATGTTAAAGTTACAATCTCTGTTTTCTTTTTAATTGTAAAAATGCAACTATAAAAAAGTCGATAAATCTTTCAAAATGAGAGCTCTCATGAGGTAGCTAAAAATGAATGTTTCTCCGCGGTTAGGCAGATTAAAACATTGTTATTATAAAGTATAGAGTCATCACTACATGAACGTGAAAGTATATAGAATTTAAGTTGGCCATTTTTATATGATTTGTCGGCGATGTATTCATATTCTCTCCTGAGTTTGCGACGCTTCTTGAAAAAAAGAGCATTAAGGTGTTTAAGGTAAGAGAAGGCCATCAGTAGGGTGTAATGTCAATGGAATAGCGATTAGCAAGTCAGTGCTTGCGGACTCAAATCTCAGTGCGGTAGAACAAAGTTGATCATGGATGTAGTGAATGCACAGCCGGTAAAGACACAACATTTACGGATTCGGCAAGCATCCGCTGGGTTACCGCCACACTTTTATCACTTTCCTCACTTCTTTGCGACCATTACTGCGTTACATGTGCAGACAATCCTCGATCATATGTTAAAAAAAAATAATAATAATTATAGAAGGAATACATTGCTTAGTCATCGATACAAGACAAAGAGAGTTTCGGGCTGTGTCATAGTCCATGACTTATCCATCATACTAACTGGGCCTCTTTTCATTAATTTTCGGAAATTGCTTACACATAAAGAGAAAATAAAATATTTTGATATCCTATATCGCTTGTCATATAAGGGTATATTAAGTTTGTGCGGATGCTTGCAATAAGTAGAAGGACTTACAATAGGCCCACCTATAGATTCAAAATCGTTTTCCAAACCGATCTAAGCTTGTCTGTCCGTCTGCCCAACTTTCCGTCTTTCCTGTTCAACCTACACAAGCATGTTTTGGCCCAAGGACGAATGCTATTGAAAATCTTTTGAATCGGATCGTTTTTTTCATCACATCCCACGTAACCTTATTTTGAAAAGTCGTTATGTGATTGCCTATGTTAAACAAAGTGTTGTAAGGTTCGTAATTGTGAGTCGGGTGTGTATGCTGCTAGGTGTTTTTGAATAAATATGCGGTCCGCGAGTTCATATTCTAATTAATGAACACTTTAATTTAATTAATGGATACTATAACTTATGCAAATACATTGCTTAATAAATATACATACATAAATAAAATGCGTATACTTTTTACAAAAAGGAGTGAAAGTTTTTTTTTTTTTTTCATTATCTAATATGATAGTTAGTGCAATTTTGTTATTTACACAAACCAATTGTTAATTCTAAATGATAAAATTGTTTTAATTAGAAATTAAATTTATTTTAACCAATCAATACTGTTTGCATAGTTTTAAAATAATTAAAGAAATATGAAAAACGTTCAAAATGAATTATTTTAATTTTATAAAAATGATTTTATAAATTTATGCAATTAAAATTGCTGCGAATGGCTTTTCGAAGTGCATGTACTACAACAAAAAATATACTATGTTAATACATTTAAGATAAATAAAAATGTTATATAATGTGCGTTATTAGATTTGCATTTTTTCTTTTTTAATTTTTTATTTTTATTTTTTTCTTGTTTTTCACTACAACGGCCATGCATGCGTTACTTGCATTAATGATTTGATTGCATATTAATTTTATATAATTACATTATTACATTTATCTTATAAACTATATTGAACACTATACGTTTTTGAGCTATAAATTAATTCTAATAATTTTTATTATTTACACTTTCCTATATATGTATATGTAATTATAATTAATTGTTTACTAATTCAATACATTTGTTGTTGCTTTACAAATTATTGAATAAGAATTGACTCTTTTAGTTTGAAAATTTTTTGTATATATTTCACACAGGTTTTTTTTTCTTTAATAATAACAACAGTTTTTTTTTTTTTTTTATAAAAATACATATCTATATGTACACATATTATAAAAGCAATATAATAAAAGTAAGGAAATTCTCGAAGAAAATAAGCAGCAAAACGATAAAGAGATAGATTAGGTATAAAAAAAAAAAAAAATAGATAAAGAAAACTGAACTTATTTAAGATTAAAAATATGTATGTAATGTGCTCCTATAGTGCCCCAGCTTTGCCCTTTTGAAAAGAAATTTGTTTTCTCGAAGTATATTATTAAAAGAAGGAAGATAAGGAAGTCCAGAGTGGATATTAGAACTAACATGGGACCTTACTCTTCTTATTCTTCAATTTGATTTAAAATTTTTCCTCTGTTCACAACGCAGCACACCATTCGAGGCAATCATATTTGGTCTTCCTTTTCAGAATTCCTTCATAACTTTTTTTTTGTATCTATTATTAACATCTTAACTAAAAACTTCAAGCAGTATAATGTCGACTCAAAGTCGACACAGAAGTTAAGGTAAGTAATGAAATGTCGACACATAGCCGATATAGGACCACAAAGGTTAAAAGATATTCATTCAAAATGATATGAAAACTTAGACAATCGTCACCACAGCTATTATGAGCTACATTAACAAATCAACGAAAGAAACGTCATCTTTGCTTTTGTAATTCGAAAATTTAAAACAAGTCTTAGTGCATAACTTACGTGATATGAAAGGAATTCTAACATAAGTTAGGTTTTAACAGAAAAAGTTGCCTACAAGATGATTGGCTTTTGATAAATGGCTTTTATTTAGAAAAAACGGTTACTTTTGTAATTGATTTGATAACCGAAACCAATTTTTTTATATGCGAAAATTTGCATAATATATCCCAAATTATTCGAAACCATATCTTACTTAAAATGGCATTGAAAGCAAAATTAAATTCAACGCATAAACATATAACATAAATACATGCATCTATCGAATATAAAATCTTGAATTGGTTCCAGTTGAGTAATTATTTGCATATATTCACAGTAACATAAAAGTCATTCGTAATGTTTTATAAGATCGGTACGCTTGTACTTCCGTTTTCTGCTCGTTTAAATGGCATGGGTGCACTACCTTAGAAAGTTTATTCTGTACCACGAACTCATTTCGATTAGTTCCTTAAATAATCGTATCTCTTGTAACTTCTGCGCCATTCATACGATTCTTTAGCTCGAAATACTGTTTCAACTGTAGTAAATGACAACACTCCCGACTCTGCCTAATCTGTAATGAATTCAATGAAGCTTAGTCCAACGTTCAGAGGACTACCCAACAACGCCACTAGTAATGCGACGGCATTCTGTTTTATTACGAATTAATGAAAATCTTTACCCCAAGACTATTCCCCTATAACTATAGAGGACCACAATCTTGAACAGTTAAATGGAGAACTCTGACGTAATAAAGCTAATGCATCCTTAAGACTATAAGTACGAAAGACGGCAGGTTTCTGCAACCAAAAAGGAGATCTCTGTAAAGCTGGTGGCTCCCAAACGAACAAAAAATACAAATAATCTTGACTCCTACCAAGATTACCTTCCAATGTGTCCAACGTATCTTCAGCAACGTTTTCTCCAGTCGTTGGAAAACGACTTGCGCATCTTCATTAACGTCGAAAGTCTGCGCAACTCCGCTAAAATTGATCGAAAGTTGAAAAGTTATTATAGCAATGGCGAACGGAATATACTTCTTATGATATTCAAAATTATAAAAATTACCCTACGAACTTATTGATTTAGGTAAAAAAAATATCGAAAAAAATGTTATGATAAAAAAAATAAATTTTATCATAATAAATAAATAAAATATAATTATCTAAACTTTAGTAACACTTATTAATACTTAATTCTTTTTTTTTATTTTTATTAATATTATTATCATCTATTATTATATATAATATAATACACAACGAGACAATATCAATAATGGTAAGACTCTGAGTAATCGTATCAAGTTTACACTTTTTTTTGATCATAATTAAAACATATTATTTTTAAAACTATAGGCTGGCTTTAGTTTTTTTTTTTTTTTTTTTTTAATAAATAGAAAACAGGCAAATAGGATAAGTATTTACACATTTTTTTATGAGATTAATGGCAAAAATTTCAACAATTGTACGCTTACATATATATAAAAAGAGGTTTTTGTTTTTGCTTTTCTTGTGTATATGGAAACAGGTATGATTTGTGTGTAAAAATGTATAGGATATATAGGTAAAGTTATATGTAATAGGAAAACACAAATGAAGTTAATATAACAACAACTTATTAAGCCATAAAGGTATGTTTATGTAACTTTTAATTTGTTTTTTTTTTTTTTGTGTTTGTTTACTTTTTTAACAGTAATAGATTTCTTTGGTTTTGATAAATTTCAACTAAATTATTTTAAAAAATATTTTTGTCATATTTTATTAAAGTTTTTCTTTTTTTTTTTTTTGAATATATTTTATATAATTAATTTTTGGTTAACAGGAATCGCAAAATTAACAGATGAATATGTTTATAGTTTCGTGTTTAGGTGAGTTAATGTGATATATCCGCTTTGTAGTTAAAAGTTTTTTTTTTTTGTTTTTGTAACCATACGGTAATGAGATGATGAATTTCGTACTATGATTTAGTTTATGGTAACTTGTGTTATATATATATATATATATATATAGTTTTTTTTTGTTTTTGAAAGTTGCACCTTGGATATATGTACAACTTTGATTGCTCTGTTTCCATTTCTTTCTTTCGGTTCTCTACGAATGGTTTGATTGTTTCTTTAGTTCTTTTTTTTCTTTTTTGTTTTCTTTCTCTAAAATTTTACCTTAATTTTATTGCTGCTGATAGGGTTGAGGGTACTGTTGTTCATAGGAGGGCATTTGCCCCATTTGTTGTTGAGGTTGCGGTAGCGTTGATGGTGCGCTCTGTGTATAATCGTATGTACTGTAGTTATCTGTCAGTGTCGTGTCAGGTTGCACGCTTTCTTCAGCAATCGTTGTGTTTAGGCCGCCAGCCATTGCAAATGGATTATTGGCCACGTGTCCTGTCGCGCCATAATTAATGGTATTTGCTTGTTGCATTTGACTTTGTTCAGTGTACTGTATCGAAAATTATAAGAAAACATATTTCGTTAAAAATGTTTATAAAAATTAGTTTGCAAAGATTTTAATAAACGCAAATAACTTACGAATGATGTTTCAGCTGCGGGCTGATCGTCAGTAAGAGCAGCCATGGGTGGTGACCAAACTTGTTTCTCTTCAGGTGGTGGTTCAGCCCAAGGCTGCAATTCGCCCGACGCGAAGATTCCGTAGAATGTACAACCGAATAAATGAACACAGGCGGCCAATGTGAAAACGGTTGTCCAACAACCTGTAGGCTAGAATCATAAAAAAAGAAACAAAAAAAAAATCTTTGACAATTTCAACGAGTTCTTCAAAATGTATTTCTTCACTACGAGAGCTAAAGTGCGGTTAGGATACTCCCAAATAGAGTAGAGGTGGAGATTGCCGATCAGTTTAAATAGCAACGTGTGTCGTTCAAAGCATTCGTTAATAACGCTTGAAAGGCTTATTCGTTAAAATACTTACATTTTTCTGAATAAGGCCATCCAATGCATAAGGTACAATAATACCAGCCAGAGTACCGATGCCATTCGATAGACCCATTAATATGCTGGCGTAGCGAGGAGCAATATCCAAATGGTTGACATTATAACCGGATATAGCAAAACCTGAGAAAGCCACACCACAAGTCAAAGCAAACATGGCACCAGTCTTTATTCAAAAAATCAAATTCACAAAATACATTTTTTATTATTAATAAATTACTCAGGAAATTACTTACCGCTGTATTAGAATGAGCTACAAATAGAAAAAATACACCTTCCATTCCAAAACCACCGCAATTAAATAGTTTACGCACATTTGTAGTAGACATTATGCCATTCTTTCGTAAATGATCGGCCAGCATTCCACCGAATGGCACAATAGTAGTCATAATTAGATGAGGTAGTGAACCTATAAATCCGGCTTCCTCAACTTTAAAACCAAATTTATGCTTAAGAAATGAAGATTGAAATAAAACTAATAGATAAAAATTCCAAGAGCGACAAAAATTCGCCACAATAATCGCGTAAACTGGCATAGAGCGCATCATTTCATTCCAAGGCGTGGTCTTTAAAGATGGCATAGTAGGTTGAGCTGAAGTTTCACCCAATGACTTTTCGATGTATTTAAGTTCAGGTAAACTAATGGCAGGATGCTTACGAGGACTTTCAAAACAAAGCCACAACCAGAACATATACCTGAGCAAAGCGAGAGAGAGACAGAAAAATATGATTCCGTAAACTATGAAAAATTAAAATACTTACCATATTATCCCAAATACTCCGTAAGCATAAAATGGAGCCTGATAGCCTATAGTGTCGGCAAGCAGTCCCGATAGAGGTAAACCCACCACCACTCCAGCATAAGAACCGCTAAATGCTAGCGTAGCTAAACGAGAACGCTCCATTGGTGGGGCCCAAAAGCGCCAAATACCATGACAGGCGGGATACGTGACACCCTGATTTATGTGAATTTATGCGAAGAAAACAAAACTTTATTTTATATAAATTATTTTTCTTTTCTTTGTCAGCGCAAACAAAAGCACAGATTACATCATGTTTTTCTTTCAAAAAAAAAAAAAAAAAACCAAACAAAAAAATATTAAAAAAATTCATCTCCTTCCATTTTCTCAATCTTTCAACAACATACGTAAGAGTATTTTTCTTTTTCTACTTCGGATATAAAGAAAAAGAAGACTTCAACCCTCTTCATCTTCATCAAATAACAATTCAAGAGAAGCGTATGATACGCATGATGTGTCGAATTGAAACTTTTTAAAAGTAATACTTTGATCTGCTTAACTCAAATCGAATGTAAGTTTGTTAATACAATTCACTTATATATATATACAAAGATATATATCGCTACTTACCTCAAATAATCCCTGCAATATTCGCACACATATCACCACATGACCATGCGCTAAAGTCATCGCGAACGGTACAAATAAATGCAACGTAGCCGAGCTGGCTATGGATAAGCCAAAGATTTTATTAGCTGGAAATTTCGAGGCAATAAAACCACCGGGTATTTGCGTCACCAAGTAGCCCCAAAAAAATGATGAATCCACATGACTTTCAACAGCCACTGTCCAGTTCATGAATACCGTCTACAAAGATATATAACATGAAATTGAAAAAACAATTTTTTGTGCGAGATATGAATGAATAGAATTTTTCAAATTTAATGCCTGCCTGGCTTTTACTTGCATTAAGCTGAATAATAGATGTATGAATACAATGCATGTGAATTTTTCTCATTCATGCGAACTGATTGTTATGTTAACTAAACGGATATGCTTTGTATTTCCTGTTCACTATATAATAACGTACGCATCTCAAATACATTTAATAGTATTTCATATGCTTTTATAGCATAGTAAGTAAACAAAATTCATATGCCATCGATTTTCTGCGAAGGAAATTCTTCTATAGTGAAGAATCTGATGAAATGAGCGATTGTACAGCTACGACAGCTGACTATCGCAAATTACTATGTAGGCGACAAGCTCGTGCTATAGCCACTATTTAGAAATGATTTACGAAGCCGTCTAAGTCGGCTCAACTTTACCTTATAAAAGCGTCACATCATCTTACAGAACTAAATGGTAGTTCCTTGTAATTTTATAAGACATCTTGTACTTTGAAAGTAAATGCATACACACTGCACGTTACATTTCAGTTAGAAACTCATACTCTTATCTATGCAGTATGGGTTTGCACGAATATAGAATTCTAAAATGTGAGCATTTACGGCATTCTACTAGGGGACACATCAGCTTCGAATAGACATGCCACAAGGACCATAGTTTAAAGCGGCCCTTAATGCATTATTAACGCACCATACCATCCCATTTTAAAGCTCACCTCGTTAAATATGAAATCTTATCATGCCTTAGCAAAACCAGAATTAGCGTACATCCTACTTCTCTTGATGTCACACATTTACAAGGCTGAAGCATTTTATCAAAACGCATAGAAGTAAGCTCCAGAGACTCGATAAGGTATTTATTTTTTTTTATTAACCTCAAATCCTGAATTGATACATCTGTCCGTCCATGATAATTCTTTTGTATACATTCTTGTCGCCACTAAAATGAAGCTATCGGCTTTAAATTTAAGAGAAAATTTAGAACGTCTTGCAGGCTGTGAGCGATGCTATATATATCTGTATAGTATTTGCGGTAAACTTTCTCCCGCTCACAAAAACAAAGATGTCGCCTACAAATTTACAGTAGAATTTGAAGATGGGTCAAGCCAGTCATAGAACATGCCTACATTGCAACTAAAACTGGGAACATTTTTACTTTCCATGTCTTTTGCTCGTCACTTCCAAGCTACGACAAGTTCTAACAAAATAAAAAAAATCAGCTACAAACTCTCAAGACTAGAGAATATAAAAATTTAGTTTTTTAGTTAAAAATACGCGAGCCGCATAATTAAAAATTAGAAAAAAATGCTGACATTTTATTTAAAGTATACAAGTTAGACGCGATGATGTTAATACTAATCGATAGTAAAAAAGCCTGCGATTACTTAGTCGAACAATTTTCCAATTGAACTTATCATTAGTTATTAGAGAAAGTTGTGTTTTTACTTATTAGAGAAAGAATCGCCAGCAAAGGAAGACCAAAAAATATGAATTGAAAAATATTTTTAAAATTATATTTTTGAAATTATACGAATTGCAAGCGATCATTAACTAAACTTTTAATGGACATCGAATTCAATACAAATAGTAAGTTGTCAATAGAATAGTAAGTCTTCAATAGAAATAGTAAATTTGTTGTTAATGTATATAACGTCATTCCGTGACATAGTTAAATCATATAATGTCCCTTACTTTGTTATCAAAGAATTTTGTATAATTTTAGGCTAAGCGTTCTCTTAATTGCAAATCGTTATTATTTTTTATAATTGTTTAACTATTACATTTTTACATTTAGCTTGAACTCAGGCGGCCAGGGTGAAAATGAATGAGAGACAACTACTTCGTTGCTTCCATCCTATCGTACGTCAGAGTATTGAAATTCTTATGAACATTGAAAGATTTCCTTATATCACAGATGAGCAAAAAGTATCCTAGAATGAATCTGTTTATTTCACAGCAAGTGAATCCCAAATTATGTTTAGCGGAACATCAGGGACGGCTAACATGAATTCTGTTCTCCTTTGCATAGTTTAACGATTCATCTAAGAAATCTATAGCCTAAGAAACTTCAATTTCATGGTCATGACCTTTTATTCAATATTTTTAAATAGGTATCAGAGACCGCATTAAGTAAACGTCTGAGAGTGTCAATGCGATCATCTGCCTGCAATTCTTTTATGGGATCCTAAAAAGATAAGGCCCTCAAACTTGGTATACATGTCGTTTGTCGTTTGATGAATACTAACAATGGTAAGGCAACAATAAGAGCAGAGATATTTCCTGAAGTTATATGCAATACGCGAAATATGTAACGAAAGCTTTTATATACTTTTCCTCTCTATGCAAAACTATTTCAAAATAACATATTTTCAAATCGATTAACCCCGTATCTCCAGTCGGAACCTTGTAAACAGTCAATCTTTGATATCGATAAAGAAAAACAACTCTAAAGTATATTTAATGTATCCATTAATAACAGCAGCAAAAACCATTATATAGAAGCTCACATATATCCATAAATGAGGTCGCACACGCAAAAAATAAATGTTTTAAAAGAAGAGAACAAAGCTAAATTGTTTACAATAAAATTCATTGAAAAATGAAGAAAGTTGATACCTTGTAATCCGGCAAAACCTATTACTAAATACGGTACATGACTTCACCGATTACACTTTACTACTTGTCTTCGCCATAAAATATCAAAAATGATGCGTTGTTGCCAAATAAAGGCTTACCTTTCATGAAGCTGTCCAAAAAGCAGCCCAAACTTTTGGACGCATCGGGTCGCCCAAAGACGTGAACCAAATAACTTTTTTTCTATTATAAAATACTTGTAAACTAGAACCTTTCATCCTGCAAAGGCTTATTTTTTGCAAAAACTTTTATAAGGCAGAGGATTGGCAAAATAGTTTCCCTCGTCCAAAGTTCCAAAAGCAAAATACAATTTTTCACTGATTGTTGCTGGACAATATGAAAAATCAAAAAATTTTTTCATGCAACGAAATTTTAAGATTAGGTCCTTCCATAAGAACACATCGTAAAAATGGATTAAGACTAGGCCTATCTCAAGCTTGATAGCATGCGACTATTAAACAAATACAAACATTATATTTGGACGCGTGCCACCTTTTAAGTACTTTAAAATACTTTCAAAATAAGGGTTTATATAGGGTGATAGTGATCGAAAAAGTGGTTCGATCCGAGTCATTTTCAATAGTATTCGTCCTTGGACTAAAAACTGTCGGTTAACCAAATTTCATCAAAATGCCACGCGAAAATAAGACAGACAGACAGGTGGACAGCAGGACAGACAAGCACATAATTACTTTCTGAATCGATTAGTGGAATATAAATAGGTGACCCTCTTTCACATTTGTCTATACGTTGCATATATCTGCACAAACTCAATATACTCTTGTGCCGCAAGTGTTGCATGGTATAAAGCCTTGATATATAAAAGAAACGAAAGCAAAAATTAAAAAAATGGTAAAGAGAGGAAATAAAAAGGCATAAAACATCCTGTTGCCAAAACACCAAGGAGACTTTTTACAAAATGTGAATATATATGAATACAACAACAAAAATATTGTAAGAGTCTCCCTTAAGGCATTATTAACGAGCGTGACGTTATAACAAATTCTTACACAACTCAATAAAATTTTCATATATTGTTAACACAAAAATATTTCGCAACATAATAAATGTGAGTTATTGATATGTGTGCGCATAGCATTCCGTATATATGTGTGAAAGAAAACGTGACTTATTCAACATGTAATATATATATATATATATATATATGTATATATGTGTACATGACCAGATATGTAAATGTCAAAAATTAATTGACAGCAACATGCTAGAGAGGAGAGACGTAAATGTAACTTAAGCCAGATTTAATTGTTGATTTTCAAAACTGAAAATCATCTTAATTAACTTAACAATATATGTTGCATTTGTACTTACACCATTATGTTCACCCTTCAGTTTAGCCGCCGACATATTACAGCGCATACCGAAAGCAATCATAAAACCGACGCAAGCCATCGTGGCTATAGTGTAACGTGCCGACATACAGGGGCACTCAGCCTTACAATATTTGTCAATTTTACGTAAAGGCGGACGTTCGATTTCATCAAATGACGCTGGCGAATCAGGTCTGTCGTCATCATAACGTACACCGCCGCCTGGGCCATCACCTTCCTTCTCACCCACTGCCATTTCTTCATAGCCACCCAAACCGCCATGATAACCTTTTGAGATTTCGAAATTTTCAAATTTCGGTTTAATTCTACAGAAAATGAATAAATAAACAGAAAAAAAAAAATTCTTAACTTTGTTTGGAAATCAATTAAAGGGCTTCCTGGTCAATTGCAAACGTAAAAAAAAAACGTAGTAATCAGTTACCCATAACAACTTTGATAACATAGTAATGCCTTATTTGCTATAAATATATGATAAAATCCTTATACGTTATAAGCCAGGAAAATAAAACTTATTTCTCAATAATTTTTCTTCACTACACACACACACACACACACACACACACACACACACACACACACACATAAATGCAAACCATCCCTTACTACTACCAGTCATCTATTATTGTTAGTTGATCTCAACAGTTATGCGTCTCTATTTGAGAATCTTCTTATTATTTTACTATTTATGTGAAATCATTTTTCTCTTTCGACTTTACTTAAGCAAAGCGTAATTTATAAACCACTGTTTAGTCATCTGTCTAGTTTTTCTTCTTTTACTCTTCCTTTTCTTTTTTTTTTTTTCAAGTTACTTTTAAGGCCAGCCAGTCTGTCACCGAAAATATTTATTCCTTTTTTTTCCCCCATTTTAGTGTGTGCGAATTTTTTGTCGTATTTTTAGTGATATTTCTTTTGTGCAGACTTTATGGCAACCAAGTGAGTTAAAGTTAGTGGCGCCAATCGGCCACATTTGAAGTAATAGATATGATATGAAATTTATCTTGGCTGTTTATGACATCAAATTAGAATTCCTTTTAAAAAGTTTGGCAAAAACAACACACATTTAAAGTAATGAAAAAATTTGAATATCGCAAAACGCCCAATTATATCTAGAAGTTACGAGTGAACTTTCAATTTTACCACCTTTCCAGAGCATAAATGAATGTGAAGAAAGTGGATCGTACCGGTGTCTTCAAAGTAGTAGGTATGCAAGAGAGAAATCGAAATATATATGCGAAGTATTGACAGTCGCTAGCTATACGTCTGACAATTTGCAGATACCATGAAAACAGCTAATCTCGTATTGAGGCCAACCACGCATCAGATACATTTTCATAGAAAATAAAGTCTTGCTCAACAAGTTGGTGTCCATTCAAAGCAAACAAATTTTGATGAACAGGAGGAGAACTCGACTTTTCCCAAATAGACATATGGCATCTAAGGAATTGATCTTATTTTGGCTTCGTTAATATTTTGCTTGCTTTTTGAGCAAACCAACAGTTCAAATCGGTATCAGGTATTCACCGTTTAACCAACTAAGCATTAAACATAGAATAGCATCTTCCAGACAAGTGTGTGTACGCTGGGTTTTTACTCTTAGAATTCTCCTAATAAATCCCGTTTTCCGTCCCCATGCGAACGATGCGAGACAAAAAAGGCCTTCTTTTGTAGTTGTTAGTTTCTTTAGTTAGGTCAAGGAAAAAACTCTTTAGGCAAACACTCTCTATTTGGCACAAAACTCGACACGTTCCACCATGCTGTTGTATGAAACTTGCATTGTTAAGATATCGACAAGTAAATGGCGCCAATGACGTTGTTTGACTATAGCCACAAGAACAGCCTGGGCCATTTACCATCAAACTCCAGTTTCATGTTTACATGGTTCGAATACTTTTATTCGGATACAGTTTTTAGAAGAAATCTTTTGCTCCCACGACTTGAGTTAAATGTATGTGAAGCATCTGCATCAAGTTTGAGATTTGTATATTAATTTCGCCCGTCATACTAAGTTTTTTAAAATTTTGTTTCCTATTTTGCGATGGTAGCAATATGGACGTTCGACAGTTAAATGACCGCAAAGTTTTCTAATTTGCCGTAATATCATTCACCGAAAATCCCAATGTGTATAAATAAAGTTTAGTTCTATAAATTTTGGTTACGAAGGTAAAAGGAAAAAATATCTATCGAAAACCTTTTTTATAGGGCAAGTCCCAAGTAATTTGGAAAATAATTTCCTCTAATGTTTGAGAGTCCTCTATGGAATAGATTTAGAAAATTTCAAACTTTTTTCTTTCATAATTGATGGGTGGTAAAGAAAAATCCACAAATTTTTGCGTAGTGAAACGGACGCTCATTTTCATTGTGGCAGCCTGTCTATAAGAACTTCCAATAATTGAATATGAAATGAATGAATGGAAAATTCGAAGCCAGTGCATAGGTTCTTAAACGGACAGATATGGCTCTATCCATTCAGAATTTGACATTGATGAAGGACATGCAGGGTCTCTGGAGCTTCCTTGTGGATAATGCAATGGCGGAAGGGGGTGGGTGGGAGCTTCCACGCGTGTTCCATGGATGATCATCCAGCTTCGATGTAAAAATTGAAAAACTTTCCATCCAATTTTAGAGCAACAAACTTTTGTTCTGTGGATTTTTTTTTTTTTTTTGTTTGTTTTCAGGTAAAGGTAGTAGGCTTAAAGCATTCGGCCATGGGCAATTATAACTAACTTATTTGTTAGCTTTTAAGGACAAGAATGCTGATCGATCCCTTCCTGAGTTAACAAACTATCGGATATTCATTCACATAAAAATAACTAAGAAGCACGATACTCACGTATCTACGGTTAATTTTAAGGAGCAAAGAAAGATGATCCTGAAGTAGTTCACATAAAGAAGCACAACGATTACAATTAGGTTCGCAAAACTTTCAAAAGCTACAGCGTGAATAGAAATAATTTAAGGAACAATAATGATAAAAATATTGTTTGTTTTTGAGATGAAATCGCTTTATTTAGCGAAAAATGAGTTTATGTCACGTTTCATGGATAAAAACAAGCATAACTCGCGCTATCTGCTATATGTAGTTTTTTTAAATTATTTTTTTTAAATTGTATTATTGATGTACACTTTAGCCCATCTCGAGCCTCTATATGACAAAGAAAATGAGTGATATCACCTTTTGGATTTTCAAGATAAGATCCAAAGCAATTTCTTCCCTTTCTTTCTTACCTATTTTTTTATGTCAATTTTTTTAAAAGGATACATTTACGTAATTTATCTCCTTTCTATTGTATTTAACCTTTCATCAGAGTTGAAAAAGAAAAAACCCCACCAAAGCCACATTCCCTTATCACGAATATTCATTGCACATACACACACATGCAACCAAGAAAATAAATACATCAATTTAATGTCATTAACCTGAAAAAACGAAAGAAAAGTGCAGAGAAAGTATCACAATGAAAATAAAATCTCTGCAATCAAGATATACTTTGCATTATATATCAATAAAAAAAAAGAAGTGAAATCACACATCCACATCTCACATTCATATATAGAAAGAGAAATCTCCTTTGGCGTCTTTTACAAGTACATAAATATCTAACATCGAGACGAAGCCTTCAATGTTCTTCAAATGAAAACATATCAGCAGCACTTAATAAAATTGAATTTTACTCCAATGCTTTAAAACAGTATCTATATAGTTTACATTTACCTTATTGCTTTGGTTTTGACAATAAAAAAATTATTGTTGTTGATGTGTAGTTATTGCTGTTCTCGTTATTGAAGAGGGAGAGAAACATTCCTTAGGGATTAAAGTGTTAGAAAAACAGCAAACGTTTAAGCAGAAAAATTTGAAAAAAAAAACAAATACTTTCAAGCCATCCAGCGGGAAATCAAACGGTTTAGGTTCGAGAAGCGTGAAAGAAGCACATGTTTTAATAAATCAACAGGTTTTTTGCTTTATTTTTAAAATTTCCTTCTTCTTAACACAATCACTTTCCCATTTTAATGCAGTTAAGTAAGTTGAGCTCTCACGTTTTTCACATAAAATCAAAATTTTGCTCACAAATTGACTTAAATTTGGCGGGAAACTTGTAGCGCAATATCTCTGTCTAGTCATTAATTAAGTCACTTACAAAGAGTAAAAGCTAGAAAAAATTTATTGTAATGATCATTAAAGAGTCTATAGTTTTCATCGAATAAGCCTTTAAACCAGTTGCGTAGAAAGTCGTCTTCTTCTTGAAGGCAGTATTTCTTACTTTAAGGCATCTGCTTTCCCTTTACATATTTCTCGTGGCATTTTCACTACAACTTTACATATTTACGGCGGCAAGCATTGACAATGATGAACTCTGATGAGGTAGAAGAAAGTGTAGACGAGTGCATAAGCTTCATGTTGAAGAAGGAATTCCGTTCACGTTTCGTACACGTGCTTCTTACACTTACACAAGCGGAAAGGGAAATTATTATTAAGTATACAAATACTCATAAAACGAATTTACTTCACGCATTTATAGATATTCAATAAAACTGTAAAAACGAGCCGGTGGTCATTTTGAATGGAATGCACACACACACACACACATACAAACACACAAAATATGTTAACTTATAATTGTTTGCCTCCCATTACTGTAGTTTGATTCAACAACATTCGAAGATGAGGATAAGCGAATTTTATCGTTGCATTAATAACATCTTCTATGTATTATTCCATGCATCATTGTTAAAAGCACTTACATCGAAAGATGGGGTCGACTTTCTATAGATATCCAATCCGTTATGTTAGTGTTTGCATTCCTATCTAATAGTTAAAGTGTCTATTTAGTCGCCCTTAGCCCTTTTAAAGACAGCCAGTGTACGCGGATTCAAATCTCAAGTACTGTAGACTTTACTTTGGTTTTAGCTATAATGAGTGCTCAGTCAGTGAAAGCATAACACTTACCATTACGGCACACACCCACTTGACTATAGCCACCAATACTCTATGTCCTTCTCTTCCTTCACTTCCTTCTGACCGTTACCATGTTACACGAATAGAGGGACGATTGGTCATATTAAAAAATAAATAAATAAAAAGTAACAGAAATTTGCTGCTCTATTCCTAATAAATTAGAATACTGCCGCATCAATTGCAAAATGCTTTTCAGCACCTAATTGCAAAGTAGTCATCTCGTTTATCATGAATGCAATTAAATCATTTTTTTGGTGCCTTTTTGGTGACTTATTTGGCTAATAATTATCCTTTATCGAAAGTACTCGCAAAATTAAAGAGCTCTAGTATTCTGCTAATTAAGGAATAGTGTAAATTATTGCTTTATCTAATTCCTGATTTAATTAAAAGGTGACCTTCCAGCTTGCATTTTTTGCCCAGATAGTTTTCCAATTCTTTGCTCGTGTGAAAAGTTATATTGTTTGGAAAATGAGTGAAGTATCTAAAGAAATACGATACCTAATGCTTCTTTATTGGGAGTAAGCGAAGGACCTTAGGGGTGGTTTGCAGATTCCTATGCCCTATGTCACTGAAAAAGTCGAAGAAATTTTGCAACTGGTGGAGCAAGACTAGCACTTAAGTGATCTCAATGCACCAAAATTTATTAAATATCTCAGAAATTGCGGCCTATAGGTTAGATGGAAAAGTACAAGAAGGACAAACAGGCAGGCAAGCTTTCATCGGTTCAACAAGTGACTCTGAATCACAACAGGTCTATCCCAAGTCCTTCCGGATACTGTATACATTGACAAAACTTTAATATACCCTTGTACCTGAATTGGTGTAGGGTACAATTAAACTGATGAATTACTTTATCAATATATTTATACACAAAACACTTGCAACGCCTTTTCAGACATTGTAGGAATCCTGTTGCATTAATAGTGCGTACATCTATTTCTACAAATGAATCATCATCACGCAGCTCAATACTGAAATGCTTTAGCATTGACTTTGATGACACCAACGATGCGTTTAAATAAAAATTTATCGCATTCTTACGTGCATTTCTTTCAGTGTTGTGGCAGTCAAAACAACTAATATCGTTTATCACGTTTAGGGAGAACTGACAACTTGATTCCAATAACGTTTATAGTTTAATTTCAAATCGTTTGTTATCAATCATCACATATATGAAAAAGTTGCTATGGAAAAAAGTCTTGATCTGTGATGATTGTTTTCCCCAGGAGACCCTCATAGGGAATGGGCGGATTTTTAATAACCAATATATAATATTAAAAGCAAAGAATAAAAATTTCTGTAAAAATTCTTACAATTGCAAGAATTATCAAGAATCTCGTATGAGATTCGAATTTATTGCAGCAGAATATATCCGTAATGGAAATGAAATCTTTCAAAATGAAAAATACATCCTTCAGACTTTTTAGTGTGAAAATTCATTTAAAAGAGCTATTGTTGTCCTACTTAACGATTTCTTCTCTCCTCCCTTTTATTATATTTTTCTTTCTTTGAGATATTTAATATTTTCTTCATTTATAGCTAAACTGGCAGTTAACGTAGCATCATTGTTCTACTCAAGTACCGCCACAAACACACTTTATCTCTCGAAATGCTGACGCACACCTACACAGACACGCACACACACACACACACACGCAAATCATCAACATGCTTGTCTTGAATACGAAATTAAAATTTCAAGTGTGCTCTGTCGTTCTAACAGTCCAACATGCATAGCAATAGTAAGGAAATGACTTGCTAACGTTATATCAACGCGCGATATATTGCATAGGTTTGCCTCCTTTATTGAATTTTTCTCTTCCTTTTTTTTTTTTGGTTTTTTGTGCGGTAACTAAGTAAAATAATAAAGCTATTAAGATCAATGGCAATAATGAAAGAAAATGAAAATCGAATTGCTATTCATTGGGTTGAAATGAAATCATTTTGAAGTCGTAGTGCAGCTATATGTAAATTGAAATTCAATAACAAAAGTATGCGAAAGAAGGAAATTCTAAATAACAAATATATTCCGCGGAATTTCTTTTTCCCATATATATTGCGTAAACACCTTATAATCGGTACAAAAACCAATTACCAAAATTGGAAATTACAATAAAAAGTTACGAGAGAAATCTCTCAAATAAAATCAATTTGCCGATCATATCTGTTTCCACATAAATTACTGATCGATATTTGCATCAATATGTCGTGGACTGCTAAGCTAAACAATTTTGCCCTTCTATACGCAGCTATCTATGCCTTGTGTAATGTTTCTCTTGTGAGTATCTCTCATCCGTAGAACCTAACTAACATTAACAAAAAATAAAAATATATATTTTCAGAGTCTTTTATGATGCATACTTTTAAGCGTTACAATCAATATGAGAGAATTTGTATATTTTCTTCCTTCGTTGAAATGACTTGATGATTACAAAATAAAACAAAATTTCAAACTTCGTCAGCATTTGTGTTGCGCCATTTCACCCTAAAACAAAATGTTCCATATATCATAAAACCAACTACCATGACCACTCATTGGTCCGTTAAATTAAATTTCTCGTTTGCTCCTTTCATTTTTTTTTTTTTTTTTTTGTTTTGTAATTTCTGCTTATCATAACTCATCATAACTTTATCTTTTGAACATAACCATGAATTTGCTACATGTCAAGATAACCGTAAACATAAACTCAGTCCAAATGGTACTTACCCGCTAAAAACACCCGTAGCTTTCTCTTTAAACGTTTCTAAGCCTTTCATTTTGTTCGATGCTATCGATGCCGCTGTGTTTTAGATATTTCACTGATTTTGCTCTTAAAATGTGCGAACTCGTATTGAGATAATTTTCTTTTTTTTTGTGGGGGCGTTAAAATCACGCTAGGTAGGTCAGGTGATAGATTTTGTAAAGTTTTTATTTTGCAATAAATTATTTTAACAGAATAAATTTTAAATTTATTACAATTTTCACACTTAAGTGTTGGATGAAATTATTCGCTTTTAACTTTCTGCTAAACGGAAACTTTCTTAGTAATTTCTTTTTCTTTTTTTTTTTTTTTTTTTTTTTTGAAACACAGATTTTTTCGATTTTATGTTACGGTTTTCGATTTGATTGATACGTATGCAACATACTTTTATTTTAATTGTTTCTTTTTCGTTTTTGTTTTTCTTTTATTTATTTGAAGGTTAGCTTGTGCGGTTTAGGCGGTTTTTTTCCATGATTAGCGTCCCAAGTCATTTTCTGCAATCAAAGCACATAACATACGTAACATTATTGAATTTTTCATAACACAAGCGAAATTATTGCGAGTGTTTTTGCTCGTTTATACTGATAACAACTCGAAGAATACATTTACCCTACGAATGGTAATATGGCTACATAAGCGGATTAATTTCATAAATTTTTGTATTTGTTTTTCCCATTTGTACATTACAACGATAATGATATAAATTCTGCGGAAGAAAAAAAATTCTAAAAATATATTTTTGCTAATATTTTTTCATTCTTCCATTTGGGGATGTATAATAGTATAAAATACGTTAAAATATATCTACACTGCAATTAATTATTATCTATACTCACCCACATTTGCTAGCAGCCGAGCACAAACTAGTTTAAGACTTAAAATATAAAGCTTAGGCTACATATATAATATTTTAATCACGGATTTCACCAATCTATTCTTAATATCTCGATAAACGACTATGTGTCTTACCATCATAGTCTTACTAATGTTTCAACGTATAAATATTCCCCTGTTAAAAAAGCCTTGCTTCCAGATCGGTTTAATTATTCCTAATCATTGAAGAATCTCTAAGCTGTGGTGAAAATGTTTTCTATCTTTCTGACGTTACCTGATGAAACGTCAATGCCGAGGTTCACTAAAAATTTTTGAAAAATTAAAAGCAAAAGTAACCGACTGTTTACAAAGTATAAGCTTAATGCTTCTTCAATGTCGTTGTCTATTCACATTCGAGCATCTTGGTCTAGCTTTTTACCATAATTCTTTAAATCTGGCCCGTAAAAACAACCTAAAGTGGCTTTATAATTTTGCCAATTCAAAAAAAAAAGTAAATTATTTTCTGATTTTCAAAAAAAAAGTAAATGATCTCTAATATGCTAGCACATTTCTTCCATTGGAAGTGCTGCAACGATACAGGCGTAGGTCCAACTTGACGCTGTAATACGAACAGTGACAATACTTCTCTTCATATTATATGTATGAAAACGCACGAAGTTCTCCGTGGTTTCTTACTTTGTTTTAAATAGTTATGCAGAAGAGCTTTGTTACCTTTCATACAAGAGCTACTAAAATCTTTGAACTATATTTGCATATGAGAGTTTTTTCATCTGCATGGCAGACTTTTACATCCTCCTCTTTTACACAGCTGGTGCTGAATATGCCCAAATTCTCAAGGTACCCACACTCTTCTAGAAAGTTGTAATATCTAAAAAAACATTTATACATAAAAATGATGTATTTTTATAGAAACGTAACGCCCACTGCTAGCTGCTTTCGAACTTGTAATAATTATTGAAAGTAGTAAAGAATGGAAGCTGAGTTTGGCAGACATTTTCTAAGAGCTGCTGTTATAATACAATAGATATGAAAAGTATAATACCAGTCCTTGTATTATACACCGAGGTTCGCATTGCTGAAAAAATTCGAAATTACGCTGATTTTTATTTGGAGAAAAAAAAAGGTGTACTTCTGATCTTACACCGGCTAAACTAGCACACATGTCATAACGTTTTATTAAGGGATAAAAGATATTTTCTATATTTCTATCGTATCATTGGAAAAATCTCGTGAAACATTTAAAAGGAAAGTAAAAAGCAAAAGCAAAGCCCAGTTTCATGGATGATGGATGGTAAGTGTTTCTATCAACTTTTACAATGCATACTGTGGAGTTGACATAATTAATATTTGACTATTGCAAATCGAAATCATGTACACAGTCTTAACAAATATTTACTGCACTTGATCGTTTGCAAAGCAGTGTTTGCAAAGCGTACTTGAACTTATATAAAAGGGGCTAACGTTCTGCTCTTCATCTTCACCAAATTGTTATAGTGTCCTATTTTACAACACTTTGGTGTCACAAAAGCGAACTGATACTCTCTTTCGAAGAAATAAACCATGATTTTTCAGCACACGTTCTCGACATTAGACAATAAGTGAATAATTGAAAGCCTGAAAGCCCCAAAAAAGTATCTAAGCTATTTATTCATAATTCATACTTCTTACAGAGACCGAGCACTTGAAATGTTGTTTTACATTTATACATATATTAGATTAAATAGTCTCTACGACAATTGATGTTTTATTCTCCCTATATAACTTAAACATCTTTCGACCGATCGAAATCGTTCTGCATCCAATAGCAGACAACTTATATTTTGTGTGAACGTTCAGAAAACTGTCTGCTATTCATGTCGAATTATCTTTTTCACTTTTCGAAATTATAAATAAACAAACCAGCAGCGAAATTTCAACTTAATCTGTTGTTTTGTGTTTTGTAAAAAAGGTCAGTTTAAAGGAAACGTATCAGGATCATGTTTTTTAAAAAGTAAAACAAAGATTTATTTATTGTAAAAAAAGATTACAAGGCAAAAGAAAAGCAGAGTGAAATGATGAAGCCATTAGGGGAACTTGAGTCTTCAAAAAAACAAGTTTTTTGGGGAAAGTATGATACTGTATGATGATAGAGTTACAGGCGACAGACAATTGACTTTAAGTGAAATTTGCTAGGCTGCAAGCATTTCAATCTAGGCTGCCATATAAACTCTCCATTCACGGTATTAAGCTTCAGAAACTATTGCGTCACATTTGCTAAACTCTGCTGCTCTATCAAAATCCTTTTCCAAAGGATGAAACAGACGATAGGCATAGGGTTTAGATGAAACTACAGTTTACTATACTTTTGCTCAAAAGTAGAAGTGAACAGAGTAGACCGGAAAAGTAAGAAAATCTATACAGCGAATACTTTAAAGACATCATCTTGAACTGAAGCCATTTTTACGATATCCCTTTCTAACGTGGCTTAGAAATATTTCCAACTGGTTTTAGTTCAATAGCAGCTTCTAGCCTAAATGGGTGTCTAGGCCAAGGATCTCGGCTAAGAACTCAATGGCTGTGTGTTCGAATCTTGATGGCGCTAGAGTTCTCAACAAAGCCAATAGACTTAGATGCTAGTGCTTTAACACTTTAGGCTTAGAATTCTGTTGTATATAGTAATAATAACTAAACTACAGTTTTTCTATAGACTTATGTCAAGTTTCCGATTACCACCTATTATGCGTCACAAATTAAAGGTTCTTATCTTTTGCAGGCATGTTTACCGATAAATTCTGTGTATTTTTATGTTTCATTAGGTAAGAGATTATGGGTTCAATTTTCTACATTACAAGCGTTATAAAAACTGGGTGCGGATTAAAAATAGGAATAGAGCTAAATCGGTTCAGAATCTTAATATGTGTATACTTTATGATGTTTTTAATATCTTTTCCTAGCTACGAGAAAAGCAAGAGACCTTCCAGCATTTCCACAACTTTTGTCTTTCACTCTTTTAGAATATAAAAGCTTTCTGATTATTGATTCTTTTCGAAGTTAGTTTACTTAAAGTTTTTGAATAAACTAATACCAATACTAAAAATAAAAAAAAAATTTGTCCACGTTTTCGTCAATGTGCTTGCGACGGCCGAATTAAAAAATTTACGAGTTATAGGATCATTCATATACACTCTCAAATATCCAAACACTTTCAAGTGACCAGCTCTTTAAAGAAATAAAGAGATTTTGAGAAGCTTCTGAAAAGTAAACTTAGAGATGAGCTAATATATTTATAAATAAGTGGTGGGCTCACATTATAAATAACCTGCAAACCTCAAAACCCAATCCTATTTTCATATTCTCGCGTTGCAATTGTTTCGATTGACAAAACATGTATCCTTATCTTATTGTTGAATGTTTCCCTGATATATGCGAAGGTAAATCAGGGTTCGTGGTCTCCATCAATAGCAAGCGGCAGCAATAAAATGGAAAATTGTAAATTACTATAATATTTTTAATTTTTGGTTACAATGGACATCTGTGGACATAAATCAAAAAAGATCAACCAATCGAGGGGGACTTATAAACTCTACAATTTACATCCATTTTATTTTCCTTATAAGGGCAAGAAAATGAAGCAAGATAAGGCTTTGCAGACAATAAAAAAGCATCAAGAAGCATTCGTATCTCGAAGCTCAACACAATATCTGTAACTTTTTTAAAGTAAACTTTGACTGAATGCATTGAACAGTTCGCCTCACCACTGGGTCACGAACAATATGTCAAAAAGGAGACCTTACATCTTGTCTTGGGAACACCAAACAGTAGAACAGTTAACTGATTGATTTTCATTCAAGTAGCATAACATATGTCTACTGCCCTTCCATGAATTTAAATCCCTTCAGCTGCACCAAAATGTAGTAAGTGTATGGGCATGTTAAACCTTTAGCACTTAATCGTAAACGAAAGACAAATTTTAGTTATAATTGCAAACACTTTATGCGTTCATATATGTACGATCCCTTGATCGATATTTGTTATTCCATTCCATTTCCATTCCATTTATTTTAAAAACCTAATCTTTTCCCAAATTGCTACGCCAGAGTTGATTTGTGAAGCGAAATAAATAAGGTTATGCAAACTCTTCTTCGAGTTTGGATTATTCGTTACGTAGACCACGCAAGTGTAATAACGAACGTAAAGTGAAACTCAAAATGGTTGTTAGTACAGTGTGAGGACTTTCAACGGCAAACGATCAGGCAAATGTGCGTATATATGTTATTTAATACCAACGTTGCCTGCACGGGATATTTGGATTTGAAGCCGGAATTTCCCCGAACTCGTGCGAGATAAATTGAATACACAACTCACACACGCGTGACTCCATATGAATACGATGAAAACGATGCTCGGATAATAAAAATTGATCTCTTACGTCTCTATGTTACTTCGCAATTGTAGCATTCATAGAGTTACTTCTATTTATCGACGTTATAGACAAAAGTAGCCAGACTCTCCTGGAAATCATAAGCTTATATATGGGATAATTTTTTTTTTCTTTTACAATATTATAAGCACTTTCTAGTTCTTATATCATTTGATACAATTTAATCTTTAGGTGGATACATCGTTTAAGTCGGCACTGATTCAAACATTCAAGGTTTTTCATTTATTCTAATCCACCGTTTTTTCAATTGTTATGCAATCATAAGGATATCGGATGTCCTTAAGCTTACGTGTTACCGATGATGTCACATATAATCCAAGGTCATAATTTTTATTCACATTTATTAGCGTTAACCGAAGCACTCGCGTTCTTTTTCCCTTAACTTTACCGATAGCAATCTGAGAATTATAAAGAAATTTTATGGCACAGAATATAAGAAAAAAAAAAATTTATATGAAAATATTGACATTATTCAGACAGAGTTAATGGGTGTTTGGTTAGCTAAGGGCACCAGCGACCCGTGGAGAACTCTGTCTGAAGACTGTAGAGATTGCACAAAAATTATGCTCTATTAAAGGCAGTGGAATGCAAGAAAAAATACACTTTGAAAACCGATGATCAGCGGCGTTAAGCATTTGGAAATTATCTGCTGGAAGGCAATTTGTATATGTATGAGATTCAAAATTTTTATATACTGGAATAGATGGAATAGATGTCGTAGGATAGCAAAGCAAATAGTTACATAAAGATATTCCAAAGCCATATATAATTGTCTCTTTCTTTCCGCTATAATTATATACACTTATTAAAAAGAGTTTTAAAGGAAAAAACAAAACTTTTCTAACAATAAGTTCTTTTAAGTTAATCTTTCAAATTGAACTACGTTTGTTGAATTTATATATATTTGAACATTTATTTTGTAGATAGATTTGTTTTTTCTTATATTTATATTATTAAATTTTTAACCCCGTCTGCACCTAGGCCACGAAGTCCCTAGATCCGTTTAGACCGTTTACACCACACGACAGGACTACGCACAAAGGACTAGTGTGTGAATGCCCAAGACCAGCATATACCAGCAATGGACCAAATCATATATGTTCAAATTATTGCTTAACATTGGCATATGGCATTGCCATCTCTTTCCTGTGTATGACTACCGCCCGTGTTGTGGTGAAAAGCTTTCTCCGTTAGCTTAAGTAGAGCATGCGCCTCTAATACTTACGAACATCGCAAGATGTTATGGAATTTCGTTTCACATACAATACATAAATAACAAATAGAGAATTTCAATATCAACTGTAACAATATAGTATAAAATAACTGGGTGGTTCTCGGTTAAGAGTAGAGTGGGTTCACTACCTGGCAGTGTAAGCCAATCGCAAAGCGACTAAGGTGGAGCTGAGGGATACGCTTATTTATACATAGCGAAAAAGTCACCATTTTCTCATTTTTTTTTTTTTTTTTTTTTTTTCGTTACTCAATCTCTGTTAAATAAACAAAAAATATTCCACATATTTTCAAACAATTGCTTATTCCAAATTAAGAATTTTTTTCACAGATTGGAACGTTCCTGGAATATTACTCATGTTCGCAAAATGCTCTTCAAATTCTCATTACATAAAACGTATAATGGATGCAGGCATTTAACTACACGGAGGCTTCTGCAGAGGTTAGTCAGTACGTGTGTGTATGAAGTTATCTTGTCCATGTCGCCCTTTCTCACTGACATTGAAGTCGGCCATTTTGAATATAATTTTACTGCTATCCCTTTGCAAATTTTCATATAAATCTCTTTTGTTTACTTATTGCAAAAATTCTACATAATACTTAAAAATCTTTTGTTTAAATTTTATTGAAAAATCATTAGGTTAATTTTTTCATCTATTTTATCAAAGGTCATAGTTTATAATTCCCGGGAGAAAAGCCTAGAATATCAAATAAAACAGCAAAGATAAAAATGAAAAGTTAAACCAAAGGTTAGTTATCTCAAAAAGATCGCCTTACATGTAAAATATTCATTGTCAAATGTAAAGCAAGTTTAACAGGCGAGTACTTAGCCCGCCCCTTCGAATGTACACTTTATATATTTTGTATTCCATTGTGCTTTTTTCGCCTATGCAGTTAGTAGGGAAAAGGGAAAACAACGGTTACCAGATGGGAAGAGTGCAGACTAAATCAGCTGTCTTGAAGTCTGCAGGATCGCTTGTATATAGAATCTACCCGGGAACTAGTTTTACTCCCACTTTGTTCGTTAAACAATTAGTTTTCATGTTTTACACGCTAAGATAATCTTACTAGAACAACCTATAAAACGGCGTTGTGTTCTTTATATCTTCATGTCATTCACTCTTTGAATAATATTTATTACCTTATGGTAAAAGATCATTCTGTTTTGATTAATTGATTCTAATATGAATGTTATATATATAGGCATTATTGAGATTGTTACGAAGAAGGCGCTTTGCTTATATGGAAATTGCGCCGACTAAAATTAACTAAATATTAAAATTAAATGCGCTTATGAATGGATGGCGTGATGTGATTTACAACGATAAGAAGAAGAAGAAGAAGTAGAAACGATTTGTGTAAGACTTTTGGAGAATAGCATGGCACAGATGTCAGCACAAACTTAAACAGTCATTTTTGCGAAGATAGAAACAAATTTCTAGGATATGAGATCTAACTGCATCAGTATCTATTGCAACGGATTGCAAACTCAAATCTATCAGTTGTTGAAGTATTTTTTTATTGTACTATGAGGAAAAATATTATAAATTTCAGTTTCATATGAGATAAAGGCAGTTCATCGGTTATCGCGACAATTTGGCACAAAGGACGTTTAGATATCTCCAAATTCCATCTTGCAGTTGGCAAAGTTGTAAAAGCCGTTGCCGCTCTTAGTTCGCTCCGATCTTACCGTGACGACAGCGAAAATGTAAAATATAATCAGGAGAGGACGCACTTTCATTACATTTTGTAAGAAGATGGATTACCTGATTTTTCATCTTTTTAAGTTTTATAATAGGCCAGACCAACTACGATGTGCCATCCTCACACACTGGAAGAAAAAGTTTCTGAGAAGGCAAACATTTGCAGAATTATATAGACATACCTTAAATAAGTGCTTGAGAGAAATATGGGTGGATATCAAAGAAAACATCTCTTGGTGAGACCATTGTGTCATTGTCACCACTTACGTCGCAATCCGCAAGTAATTAGCGTCAAAAATAGCACTACGTGGTTTTAAAAGTATGGCATTTTTAAAGACTTGAAAATCTTTCCCAAAAAAAAGCAGATTTGTTCAAGATTATTTCAAGTGAAACAATCTTTGCGAATCTTAAAGATCCTTAAACTAAATTCTGAAAATTGGAAAATGTACGTATGTATCTAAGGTCACCAAACAACTGGTTTTTGTTTTTTTTAACTCGCAATAAAAGCCAAACGGTAAAGGCTAGCAAAATGATTTTGATTTCAGATATTAGTTCATGTCATATTTATTTAAAAATAATGTTTTGTAAGGTACTGCCTCTGGACTTCTGCAAAAAATCAATACTGATACATCAATTTTCGCCACCTCTCCACATAAATCGCTTGATCTTTGTGGCAAGCTCACATAGGCATTTTTGGACATTACGTGGTCGTTGATTGTACTACGACACTTATGGCAATTTGCAACATTTTGTTACCATTATTACATTTTGTCTAACTCGAAGTCATCTATTTCGTGCCGCATAAGATCAGTAGTAACGTTTGCCAGTAGTATTCTGCGTTGACGATAACTGACAGTGTGTTTATTGATTTCTTAATAAATTTGAACAATTTCCGTGCGCTGTGCAACTAATCGTGTATTGTATTCCAGAAATAATACCATAATGCAAACTATATTTTTGAAAAAAAAATTTGGCCCAAATCTCAATCAGAAGCGCATTTTATTTGCGTTTACTTTTGGAACCACAAAGTGGATGACCCTGTACTTATATTTTACTTAAATCGTGTATCCACTTTACGACTTCAAGGAGATCTTAAAAACTATGCTATTGGTATTATTGTTTATTGAATCCGCTGATTCAAAATCTTATCTTCTAAATAGATAAAAGAAGAAATCAGCGAATTAGATTTTCTTGGATAATTTATTAATAATAAAATTCATATCTTCCAACTCGGTTATGATATTTAGCGTTCTCCAACGCTTCATGTTCAGAAAAAACTTACATCATAACCTGTCAACATTGTCTTCCATGTGCGGAGAAGATGCCTGCTTTAAGCAATAACCTACCGCCAAAGACTAATCAAGGAGATACCATTACCAGATGAAGCATTTTATATAAACACTTGGCTGTTCACTTTGCCGGTATTGTATGAAGCGCTTTACCTAGCTACCTGTCCGTTTCCTCTTGGCTAGTCATTTTTATTGTTGTTCGTCCATTATTTAATTTTGTTATTTATGTCGCAAATCCTTTAAGCTTTTATGATTTTTTCACGTCTAAAACATCTTTACCGCCCAGGTGCCTTGGTAAGTTGATTTGTTCAATTGTCGGCCTAAGAAGATGTTTATGCTTTCCAGTCATCAATGTGGAAGCCGATCGAAGACTGCTACCTCTCCAATACTCCAAATAACTGAAATAGCATATGTTTAGTAACTTTTATGATATTTTTTAAGTAAATTAAGCTTTCAGAATGCTACTTGGTCCTCCATTAAGTTTGTCCCTCAATTCTTTTGTACATTTCCATTCGAGACATCTAATCAAATGCAAGATATGAATATGTTCCACTAAACAACAACTTTCTGGTCATCTTTCTCGTCTAGGGAATGGTCGACATTTATTTCTCTTTTTGTTTATCAGTTATTTTTTTTAGCATCTATTCTAACTAATGTTAATCCTTATAAATGAGCAGGCTATTCTCTCGCAATTTAAACTTTCACAAAGAATTTCGCATATATTGGTAGTCGGACGGAAGGCTCCTTATATAGTTTCACGTGGGTTTCTTCCTTGAAGACCTAACCCCGCGGCACCCGATGACACAGGAGTTATCCTGACAAGCGATAACGGACGCCCCGAAGGAGTAGGACAATCCCCTTTACAGAGTGCTCTACAACTCCTTAGATACCGGAATAGAGAATAGGTGTGAGCCGTTTTCTCTCTTGTTGGTATACGCCGCGGCATATACAAACACCCCTTGGATAGTTCCCCATGAAACTACGGCGTCACCACAGCCCCCACAATACTGCCCAAATGGTCGCGGCTAGCAGTCAGCTAAGAACGCATGCACCCCGATAGTCAGATGGATAGTGCATCTTCGTACCAGGACCAATCCTAGTTTTGGGCAACCTGACGCCAATGGACACCCATTTAGTTCACGACTTATCGTTCTATTGCAGAACTTACGCCATGCTATACAGCTTTGAGTGAGCCACTCTTACCTTTGGCCGTACGCCGTAGGTCCCGGAAGATCATCTAAACACT